TACTGCAAGACAGGTAGTTTAATCAACTTTACAGTTTACTGTAAGACAGGTAGTTTAATCACCATTACAATTTACTGTAAGACAGGTAGTTTAATCAACTTTACAATTTACTGTAAGACAGGTAGTTTAATCACCATTACAATTTACTGTAAGACAGGTAGTTTAATCACTATTACAATTTACTGTAAGACAGGTAGTTTAATCACCATAACAATTTACTGTAAGACAGGTAGTTTAATCAACTTTACAATTTACTGTAAGACAGGTAGTTTAATCACCATAACAATTTACTGTAAGACAGGTAGTTTAATCAACTTTACAATTTACTGTAAGACAGGTAGTTTAATCACCATTACAATTTACTGTAAGACAGGTTGTTTAATCACCATTACAGTTTACTATAGGACAGGTAGTTTAATCACCATTACAATTTACCATGTTATGAACTATCCCACCAGTGATATATCCACCACGTCATATCCCACCAGTATATCCACCACGTCATATCCCACCAGTGACATATCTACCACGTCATATCCCACCAGTGATATATCCACCACGTCATGAAATATCCCACCAGTGATATATCCACACGTCATGAACTATCCCACCAGTGATATATCCACACGTCATGAACTATCCCAACAGTGATATATCCACCATGTCATGAAATATCCCACCAGTGATATATCCACACGTCATGAACTATCCCACCAGTGATATATCCACACGTCATGAACTATCCCAACAGTGATATATCCACCATGTCATGAACTATCCCACCAGTGATATATCTACCACGTCATATCCCACCAGTGATATATCTACCACGTCATATCTACACGTCATGAACTATCCCAACAGTGATATATCCACCATGTCATAAACTATCCCACCAGTGATATATCTACCACGTCATATCCCACCAGTGATATATCTACCACGTCATATCCCACCAGTGATATATCCACCATGTCATGAACTATCCCACCAGTGATATATTTACCACGTCATATCCCACCAGTGATATATCCACACGTCATGAACTATCCCACCAGTGATATATATACCACGTCATGAATTATCGCACCGGTGATATATCTACACGTCATGAATTATCCCACCAGTGATATATCTACCACGTGATATCTACACGTCATGAACTATCCCACCAGTGATATATCCCACCCCGTCATATCCCACCAGTGATATATCCACCACGTCATATCCCACCAGTGATATATCTACCACGTCATATCCCACCAGTGATATATCCACCACGTCATATCCCACCGGTGATATATCCACTGTCTTCATTATACACAGTTATTTATTTCATCACATTTCTTAAAGACGTCCATGTAAAGACTTTAAGTGTTTACGACATGTATATAATATTAATTTTTTACAACAAGTGCAGTGTTTAGTAAGTTAACCGTTTAAAAGAAACGGAATATTTCAAAGTAAATAGCATTTTGAATCTGTGACATTATTGAAGCCTTAATGAAAACTTTGCACCATTCCCTCATGTAATAATATTCCTAACACGAGTACGAGTACGTGATTCTCACACGTGACCAATCCAGCCAAATGTTAACTATCTTTTTCAACGAAGTCACACGTTAGTAAAAAGTTGTAGATTCTAAGCTTACCTCTTGCATGTAAATGAATCCAACTGAATTCTGGGTAAAACACTGAGAAAAGTACCCGATGTTTCACTTACCACTTTTGAAACTGTTCCATCCTCACAACTTCTGGATCTTCCAACAAACTGAATTACCCCAGGCACGCGCACCACGAGTTTAAACCAGCCACTTGTCACGTGACGCAGCCTTTTTTTTTTAATCTTTTCTTTTTCCTGTTTCTCTCTTGAAAAGCCCGTTGTTTGGACAAAAGTACGTGTGTGTACCATTAAACACAAGAAATTTCATGTGCCGACCACGCTGTGACTTCAGTTTTCCAACTGTATAGTGAAGGGTTTGATTTTATTACAACATGAACTCATTTTACAGAGATTGATGAACTCTGTTACCGGGGGGTCTTTCCCTATAAATAAAACGTAAGTGTTGGGGAGAACCTCTGCTAATAATAAACATATTTTATGTATGTATGTTCGACAAGTAATATACAGTTGTTATTCTTCGACGATTAATATTCATGATCAACATCTTATTTAGATATTATTTTAACAAATAAATTAAATGTTTCCAGAACCATATAAAGATACTGACATAGTGTTTTAGACTTTAATATCCAACTTACACTCGTGTTTTTAATAGGGTAAAAGGACGTATGTAGTAAACAGAGTTTAAAGTCAAACAAGAATAATAAACAGTGGATTTTCCCCAACCTCGTTCTGTTTACTACGAACTTCAATCAAGACACGGAACTTCCTGCTGTTACCTAACTCACAATGACAGCCAAAAAATCTCTTATATATCCGTAAATGTAATAATTACAAAGTATGTCAGAAAAAACACATTCTGTTGAAACAACCCACTTTTTTTACCGGTGTTTCTTAGAACACTTTCGACACGTTCTGTTGAAAACTCAGTTCTTCACCGGTGTTTCTAAGAGGACTTTTGACAAGTTTTGTTGAAAAAAAAGATAGTAGTCCTAAGTGTTTCTACAAAAACAACACACTTTAGTATTTAGGAATACGAGCTCTTAAGGGCATGTAGGGGAGAGAAGACCAAAGGGTGCTGGCCATCGGGGAGATGTCCGCTGAGGCTGCGGATGTCACGTGACGTCATAATAATTCCAGAAAATAGCGCCAAAGAATTGATAGTTCTTTGATACCGCAAGGAATCTAATCCCGGATTTTAGTGAAGTGTGTAGACTTACCGCCAGGAGACTGTCATCACTAGGATTATGTTTCATTACGTGATTCGCAAACGAAAAACAGAGGGTTTTATTGGACTTCTCTGAACATGAAAGTCAAGTAATGTCGTGTTTCAACTTCTAATCATGTCATAATGAACTTTGATTCAACATCTACCTGAGGCACAAAGTGGACATGTTATTATGACTTTACATTTACTAAAAACAGAGGGTTTTATTGGACTTCTCTGAACATGAAAGTCAAGTAATGTCGTGTTTCAACTTCTAATCATGTCATAATGAACTTTGATTCAACATCTACCTGAGGCACAAAGTGGACATGTTATTATGACTTTACATTTACTAAAAACAGAGGGTTTTATTGGACTTCTCTGAACATGAAAGTCAAGTAATGTCGTGTTTCAACTTCTAATCATGAACTTTGATTCAACATCTACCTGAGGCACAAAGTGGACATGTTATTATGACTTTACATTTACTAAAAC